CAGTTTTTTTTGTAAGATCTCACAACTTTGAAGATTTTCTACATTGTGGTACTGTAGCACTAATGCAAAGTTATTGATGTAAGTCAATTTTTGAATAACCATATTGAAGACTTAGGAATAACTCATATTGAATGCATCTGAAGATATGTTCAACGTTGAAAACTAGAGCTGGGTCTCATTGCAGATACGTATAAAACTGTAGCTCTTGGATCATAAACAGCATTAGTCTAATTCTAGTATTTTACTAATGTGGCTTAGACAGTTTTACTAATCACACGGCACTAATTAAATTCTTATGTTACAGATTATAGGAAATTTAACTTTTTTTTTTTTTAAATTGGGAAAGCCTCATGATGGGGAAGGCACGTGGACACATGATTTCTCAGGAGACTAAGTGGTCTATTATATTGTATGAAAATATATCTACTCACCCTTGCCTCCTCTTCCCCCTCCTTTCCTCTGCAGAGTGTCTCAGATATATTACAGAATTACTTAGTTTCATAAACTGGGTTATGAAAGGCAGTGGGGGTGCTGCACGTGTGGCAAGGTAGGTCATACAGGATTTATAAGAAGGATTGCCTGGGTTCTGCTAGTTCCTCGGTGTGTACGAGCTGTGCAGCTATGGCTGATGTTCCTTACCTCTCTGTGCCTCATCGCCTGTAAAGCTGGTGTATTTTTTGTTTCTGTAATAGAGATGTTAAAGCTTGACTGAGGTTGCAAGTGATTCACGGTGTTTCTAAGATGATTTGGAAAATTAAGCACTATATTGTAAAATACATGAACGTTAGTCTGAAAGACTTGCAGCTAAAGAAAAACATTCTTGCTTCGCTGGAAAGATCTTTTGTGTTCCCCTCTGTCTTAATTGCCTGAAAAGCTGGATGGAACAGGAGGGAAAAGGCAGCTCTTGAGCATGCTGTGTCAGTTGTCCGGAAGCTCTTAAAAGACCCTTTTTTGGCTTTTGAAAATAAAACCTTGGGAAGGTTAAACAGAGTGGAATCGGGACGCGGCAGTCCTTTAGAGGTCTTTCTCTTCAAAGATGAAAGTATTTCAAGGAGCATGCTTGGAGCAGCTTTCTCTTACCTCTGGGGTGCTCTTGAGCAATGCTGCGGGGAGAGGGATGGCCAACAGTGGCACGTATTCTGCAGCGGTCGTGTTCCATCTGTAAGAAGTTTCAGAAGCACAGGAGAACAAGGAAGCGAGGCAGGGGCACTAAGATATTCGGGACTTGGAGCACGGCTTATGAATACAGTATGAAGAGATGCCCAATACCTTTGCAGGGTACAGGTTTGAACATGAACATTTCCAGTACTGATCTAGTCTCCTTTAACAGCATATATGCAAAGAAACAACAAGGTGATCCGCTCTGTTTCCAGCAGAGGTTTGGTGGTTTTTTTTTCTATGAGAGACTGCAGTATGGCCCAGAGGTAGGGATTTAAGTTACAACTGAAATTTTCTGGGCAGCTTTTATTGCACTCTGAAATTCAAGCAACCTTTTGCTCTAGGGAGTTTATCTCTGCCCCACCCACAAGCCCAAGCAGTCAGTGATCAGAGTCACTGAAAAGGTTTATTAAGGTCTGAGGGGAAATAAGTTATTTGCGCAGGAGAGCCGCTCGCCGTGGTCTCCTTTTTCTGTTTACACAGAAGTAACTTAATACCTCTTTTCCTGGTCCTACTTGTTTGGTTTGGGATTTGTTGTTGTTGTGAGATGCCACTGACAGTCTCCGTATCGCTGATAGATGGATGGTCAGAAGGATGCGGCTGACAGCCGTGTCTATAGCTGGAGTGCTCTGGCTCCGGCTCATGTCTGGATACCGTTTTCAGGATTAGCTTTTGTTATACTGATGAATAGTTGGTTCAGAACTGCACCGTTCTTTTACTTGGAGCCACGTAGAGTTTCTCAAATATATAGGTTGCATTAAAAATTGTTCGCTGTGAAGGTGTTAATTTTTATTCGAAAGAAGCAAAACCAAACCCTATTGCATCAGTTTTCTAAACTTTGCTTAATTTTTTCTTGCTTTTTTAGAAAAACGTGTTACTGATAATCTGGTAGGGGCTGTTTAGTTCATTTTGAATTCTTTTTGCAGCAGCACACTGAGTTAAATTCTGTGTCTGTAGGCTACAGCAATCCAGAGAGAACAATATATTGCACAAAGCACTTAAATTTGTCCTTAAAATTTGCATTTATTCGTAGTTGAATAGTTTCTGCTGGTTTTGGTATCACAAAAACATCAATATCCTTTCAGAAACTGTGGTTTCGTGTTGAAAACAGTTAAAATAAGTCAGTTTACAAGGTCAGGAACTTTTACTCAATTAAAAAAAACCAAAAAATCTCTCCCATAAATTTTGCAGCTACTTCCTAGAGGGATGTTGGGTACCGCAAGTGGTGCTTTGATTACTGTTTTTGTTTTTAACACAACCCTTTCCCCCCTCCAATTTCAAAAAAGCCCACAAGGAAGCAATGAGTTTAAGGATGATAAAGCACAGGTATGTCACTATCCACTTGAAGGTGAAGGAAGATGTCTCGAAATCTGGGTGTGCAGTGATATGTTATGGAAATAATGATAAAACTTGAGTCTCGGTAAGTCAAAATCTTCTGGATGGACTGGGAGCAATCAGAAGGCTGACTTAATTTCACTTTCAGCCATTATTGTTCCTCATCTTTTCTCTTGGATTATTCTGATTGCTTACTGAAATTATGCTGATTAGTCTGTAGTGTCTGTGAAATAGTTTCATGATTTTTCCTTTGGGTGCTACAGGTAAAAAATTAATCCAAGCTCTTCCCAAGCTTTTAGCTGAACTATCTCCAGGGTTTTTTTTTTTATATATCATGGTGGCAATTTTTTCTTCTTTGCTCAGCAGGAGCTCCTTTGCAATTGTAATTTCTGCTGAATGCAGTGCATCCTTTGTGGATTTTTAGATTTTTTTTTTTTTTAGTTGCAAAACACTCACAGCCCAGTGTCAAAGTTCTGGAGATGCAATATGACCATCTCTTCGTAACTGCTTCTGGATTGTCCTGTAGCAGCTGATGTATCACCATCTAAATTGAGGGCACATCTTTTACCTCTAGGCACATAGGTCTGTGCCAGGGAGAGCCACGCTCTGGCTGTCCTGCACTGAAGCACTCCGTTTGCTATTGCATGCTCTTTGTTGAAATACATGCGGATAAAAGCGCCTGTGATTGAAGAGCACCTGTCTGTAGTTGGAAATTGGAAAAAGGGTTTGTTTTTATGTATAAATAAACATAAAATCAGTCGGCCTCAGATGTCAGTTCTCTTTCATTTCCCTGTGTGAGAAATCACAAGCACGCTTGTGTTGTGTGAGAGGGATGCCTGCACTGAAGTGGCATCTCTCCTCCTAAAGAGGAGCCAAGCAAAGAAGCCTACTTGGCTATTTAATAATTTCCTATTCTGCCACAGTCACATTGCCTTCACTGAGAGCCAGAGAAATTGTTCCATAATGTTTTCTGTTAATTCTCATCTTTCTCTCCTTGGGGGAAAAAACTGAGTGTCAGTCTTGTTGCTGTCTGTGTGCTCAGGGAACAAACTTATCATTGATTAATATTAACATTGACTAATATAAAAGGAGTTACACTTTCTACTTCTGAAAATGGTCTGCAGATCATAGAATTTCCGTGTCTGGCACTGTGTGCTCTTCATCCTTTCCAGTTCTCCTTGCCAAAAGGGTAAATGTATTTTTAAAGTCCTCAACATGCTCCAGTACTCGTAAGACTCATAAGCGACTTGGATCCTGCCACTTAAATTTTTACATAGTCATTGTTATATGTTTTTAAAGTAACGTTAATTTCAAATATCTCAGGAATACATCCACACAGTCCTGTCCATTGGTTTTGGAGAGACCAAGCCAATGTGGCACCAGACTCAGCTCTTTGGATCTATGATGGCCGCAATGTTCAGAGAGTCATTCTTCCAAAGTTTCACATATCTGTAATATATGGAGCCAGCTTTGTAGTTAAAAATCATTTGTTTTTATATTATATGGATGTTCATTTTTCTCTAGCTTCCCAAACTAATAGTCGGGGCTGAAGCACGATCTAGCTTTGTACAGTGAGATATGGAAGGGGAAGTATGTAGTTACTCAGTTAGCTGGTGAGAGAATGAAGTCATTAGTGAACGGGAGCACTCTGCTGTCAAATCTTCTATCACAGCAACTGCACTCTATCACCATAATTATATTTTTCAAATGCAAATGATAGCTTTAAGAATTCTTCCTTTGGTACATCGTTTACAGGAGCAGCTCGGTTGCTATTTCTCAGTCGGAGACAAATCTTGTCAGAGGCTAAGGACAGGAGAGTCTCATCTATTATGTTTATTTCCTTTTCTCTGAAGGTGTTTATTGGGTAGAAATACAGCGAACTGTAGAGTCATATGAAGAGGCTTCCTCACCAAACAGAGTGTTTTGTCGGCAAAGTTGCTGTTAGGGCTCCATATCTGAGGAGAGCAACCTGTGTGTAGCACAAAGGGAACGCCGGGCCGTGGCGGGGAGGAGACCTGCAGAGCCTCACTGTTGAGCAGAGTTGCTCCATTGTTCTCAGCCACTCCATGTTGTGAATCACAAAGAAATACGGCAGTGCCCTAGATTTAATTTTATTGTTGTTCTTTGAGGTAGAGAAATGCAGATTGTGTCAGATTTGGGGAGTGGGAAAAGCTTAGCCTAGTCATCTGCAAATCCAATTTCTTATATTCGGAGAAAACGTTCTCTTTTTTTTTTTTCCCCATGTGTCTTAGTGCAAGTACATCAATAACATTCGTACTTTCAACTTTAACATGTATCATTATTTGGCATTCTGTTTAATGATCACTGACCTTGAGAGATTACATCCCACAAACGTGCCAGATTCTGAGCTACAGTACAGGTGTACTGTCAGTTTTTATTAAAAATTTCTGTCTTCATGTCAAGTAAAATTTGGTATTCTAAATTATTGGTGTTCAGCTATTGATGGATTTTTTTCTCCTTTTCTTCCAAATCCTCTGCTTCTCCAGGTATGAAGATGAATAATGCAGACCACTGGTTTCGATGATGCTGGGCTTTTATAACTGGATTCATTAAGGAATACAAAGAAAATTCTTACAGGGGTCAATAATGGTGTCTTCTGGCTGCAGAATGCAAAGTTTTTGGTTTCTGCTCATTATCAGCTTCCTGCAGTGTAGTGAAGGTAAGCTTTAGTTTATTTTTTTACGTGTGTTTGCAGATGAGATGAATGGTCTGTACAATTAATTTATGTTAGATGACTTGAAGTTTTAAGATGTCAAATTAAAAGTATCTGTAGCGTGTTCTAGGTTTAATTTATAAGATTCAAATCCTCGTTTTTAATGAAAAAAAATCGGTTTTGATACAGTGTGGTATATTGAAACTGAAATGCAGTGTTCAGGCAACTGAAGTGACAGTATTAATATCCTTGTTTGGTAGGTGCCTTATTTTTGGACTCTTCCTGTTTACTCTTCTGTTTTCTGTTCTCATTGTGCAACCATTTGTTAGCAATGTATAGATTTGTTAAATATGATATAAAATAACTAAACAGTGCAAATGAGATACCTCTTTTACTTTTCTAATTTGGCTGGCTGAAAATAAAATGGCAAACACTTCATTAAGACTAGAATTATGCAAGTTAAATTTCAGGAAGTAAAACTCAAAGTGCATAGAGGAATAGCATATAGTTAAAAAATACTTTTGCTTTTTAACAAAAAGGGAAAAATACTTCATGCTATCAAATGTGGTGTTTAAAATAGCTCTTAAATCAAAAATATGAGGAAGGAAAAAGCTTTTTAGGAAAAGTTGTATCATCTATTCTTTATCTGTTTTTCTTCGTAAACTGTATTTTATCCAGTTAGCCTGTCTCCCCAGCTGTTCTTGTGGCCCTTTTAATTAGTAACAGAGAAACACAAATGAATGATCAGGAAAACATGAATTTTTAATTACAAATTTTTGTATAGAACTTGGGGCTATTTCTGGGTGTAATCATTTTGATTGAATAGATTGCAGGTGAAAAGACTGGTTTAGTAATAAAGTAGCACCTCCCTGCCTTTCTTACATTATTCAGTAATTGGTATATAATATATAGGCTTCTTTGGTGCATCTGTGGCGTGATCTCACCATCTTTTAAAGCAGATACATATCTTACCGTGTCAAAATTCCTTGAATTTTAAGGCTAAATTTTTAGAGATACTTCAGGACAGCTGCTCTGCCTCCCCCTCTCTTCTTTGCCAAATCTATACAAACAAAAAGGATCTAGTCCCCAAAAATGGCAAAACCCGAGGTTAAAAATGTAAATATTGTATGCAGTTTTCCATGTTCACTGTGGAATTTCCTAAGCGTTTATTCCAGACTACGACTCTGATCTTGTGTTGTATTGACAGACGAGCTTTGCTAAAATAGGTTATTCATATGTATGTCTGAACATACACATATATCAGGGAGTGCGTCTTAGGAGTCTTCATGAAGGTTTCTGAACATGGGGAAGTCTCATTTCACTTAAATAGCTTTCACAGTCAGTTTCCCCTCCCTCCCCTCTTTCTTCTTAAATATTGCCAGGATAGATTAGAAAACTGGCATTTCCCACGGCACACTGCAGATCTTGGATGGTTTCGTCATTGATGGGATTTCTGATTTGGTAGCTGCTGTATTGACTGCTCTCTTGGTGTCTGTTGAGTTTGTGGACTTGGGTATAATGTCACTTTTATAGGAAAGTAAGTGCCAACAGCTGGAAGGTAAAATGCTTTTCATCCTTTTTCACAGGTAAGGAAGGTAAATGCATGTTAGGAGAATGGAATTATAAATCTTACGACTGGCTGGTAATAACTTGTGTTAATTATAAATGCACTTAAATTGCAAAAGTGGTTGCACTAGTTGAAACCAAAGGTCTAAGAAGTAGAGGCATCTATTTATGTTTTTTCTGAAGTTTTAAAATACTGAGGATTTTATTTGTTATTGTAATTGTTTCAGATCCCTATATCTAGTACATTTTTCAAAGATTCACAAGACTACTTTCAGTTGAATGCTATGTGGTGGTTGATAAAATTTGAAAACAGAAAGGAAAACAGACAAACAACTGACTTTCTCTGGTCTGATTACAGTAGCAAACAGCATGCTGCAAAGAATGTTTTATCTGCTGAGTTTGGAAAGGAAAAAGTCAGCTGAGAACTTCTGCAGATTGAATTTTTGCCATTTGCAGAAAGCTAATTTCCATTGTCCTCTGTAATATTTCAAGTTATTTTGTTCTGTCCCTGTTTTTCTTGCTTTTAGTAGCCAGTAGCAATCTTTTGATGCTTCAGTTGCGAATTTACTTTTTTAAAGTCTGTACAAGAGCTGCTTTTTCAGCTAAAAGAAACAGGGAAGGAAGTTGGGAGCAGATAACAGAATCATACCAAATTAATTGTAAATTCTTAAAATAAATGAAATATTGTGGCTCTGTATACTGGAAATGAATATTAATATAGAGTTGGCTTCCAGCCACAGAAGCAAAATGAATACCGCATTATTACACTTTCTCACAAGATTACATTGCCTTCTGCTTCAGTAATAAGAGATGCCAAGTGTAACGTGCTTTAGTAGCACTTCATGCCTGGAAGTATGAACACGAACAAAGGTTAAAATAAGAGCATCTAACTTTTGCTAGAAATAAGAAAATCTTTAATTCTCTCGCTTGGAACTTGGGGTTTTTTTATAGAAATCATACAAGGTTGTTGCAGTTGATGGGGGCGATGAAACCTGGTTGAGTTCCCTGCTGTTATACTTTAATGTTTCTGTACAGTTAAACAGAGAGAGAGGGGGGATAAAAAGATCCTGGGTGTGGACAAGTGACTCATTTGTTCATATAACGAAACATTTTCCAATCAAGATAAAGACTTCATTACTCTCACAGTGCCTTAACTCTAACTCACCAGGGAATTAGCAAGTAGGCACAGTTATATGAAGGCTGCAATTTTATTTTAGTGTTGCCTATCCAAATAGGAATCATATCTTCAGTTAAGAAGGTCTTGGTTTTGCTTTGTTTTTCCTGGCTAGAGCAGTTCAGGTGGGGTTGCTTTTGAAACAGTCTGTTCCTTCAGGTAAAATGAACCTGGAACGGCCGAGTGCTGGCAGCTGGAGGGAAGACCGCACCAAGTTATTATACGCTGCTGGTACATTGATCAGCAACAGGTCAATATTGTTGTGTAGAGGCTTGAAAAACATTGTTATTACCATCAACAGCAAGCATTCCAGCCCTAAATAAGATGAGAGGCGGGAAAAAGGAATGAAAAGCTGAAGTCATGAGCTTGAATATGAATGTCATTTAGGAAGGTATTTTTCTGTCCCTTTTTCTAGCCTATTCTACTATAGGTCTGTCTCTCAAAGTACAATGTTATTACAAAAGACGGACTGAAAGAACTACCTTGGAAAGTAGTTTGAATGGGAGTTACGCAGGTAGCTGTGAAGCCCGGCCTCGTACCGTGGCTGATTTCCTGGGGGAGACAGGAGCTTCCACTGCGGCTGTGCCGGAGTCCGTCCCCGGTCCCACGCCGTCCCGGCTCTCTGCTCTCACGGAAGGAGTGGGTTCCTGCTCCTGTCGGTCCCATGCAGTTGAGTCCCTCACCTTCACGTACCTGTTTCCTACGAACCATAGGAAAGGAATTACTTTTGACACCACCTCTATCTTTTTTCTCCCCCCCCACCCCCACCCCCCCAGCTTCCTAATTAGGCGAAATCATCCAACAAGTTAAAAATTATCTGAGAAAATACAGAAAGTCAGAGTGAGATCACACATGCCTTGTTTCCATAGCAAAGCAGAGTAAAAAGCTTATTATATGTATTATTGGTTTCTCTTCAAGCAAGTTAAGACAGATACACTAATATGCATTTGAAAAAAAGATGTCAGAGCTAAACATTCTGATTAAGATTGGTTTTTGGACTGTACAAGTTTTGATATTTTAAGCCTTATCTTGCTTAGAAAGTCCACCTTTTCTACTAGCTTTAGATGCCTTTTGTTTTTATTCGCTTCTGCTGCATGAGAAGCGCAAGTGCTTGGGAAGCAATGAAATAATTTTCTTTGCTTACATTTTATTTTAATCAAGGTTTAATACAATTTTAATTCATTTTATTATGAATTATTATCTATGCTTTGTCCCAAGGAAGAAGCATGATGCTTTCATTATCTATTTAATTCTGTTTTCCTAAATGGCATTGATGTTTTTTTTTTTAAAATCCAGCCTGTCTTTGCCTCTGAATGTACATTTTAATTAACATTACACAGAGAAATATAAATTCCTGTAAATTCCACTTATACCAGCCAAGGAGCTGAGTGTTAAATTGGGAGCAGTTTTAAGTGCGTAGCCAACATTAGTGCATGTACTAAAGAAAAGACATACTAAATACAGATAACATACATTGGGCCACTACAAAGGTATTTGCTATTTTAGTGTATTGCTTCAGATCTTCAGCCTCCTGTCAAGCCACTCAGACTTAGAGTGTCTAAAGCATATGGCACAGGTACTCGACAAACTGTAGAAGCACGTAGGTTTTCCTGTACTTTTACTAGGAAGAATTGGTAGGATTTTGCCCAGGATAAAAACTCAAAAGATCTTGTACCCTGGACTTGAGAATAAATCAACTTCTGTTAATTAGCAGATTTAAGTTCTACAAGGGGTGAAACCCATTACGGAGTCACGCAAGAGCAACTAGGAGCACTAATTTAATTCCTAGCCGGGGAATTTATCACAGTGAGAGCTCTGTGAAGCACACAGTTAGTAGGCAACTACTTGGTTTAACAGAGGTCGCAAAGCATCCGTAAACACACCCAGAGTACTAAGGCCAGCCAGTTATTGCCTGCCCTTTGGAGGGTCTCTCTAATAAGCCTTCCAACGCTATCTTCATTTTTGTCATGATATTTATGATTCTTTAGCAAATGTTTTTTTCTTAATTGGTTAATGCAGATTATGCAGAAGAAAGTATCTGTGTGAAGGGAGCAATTGGGTTTCGGCAGAAAGCAACTGCTGCACTGAGTCCTGTTTTCTTTCCTGGAAGAGCATGCCGTTTTTCACTGGGATATTCTGGTGCATACTTATCTGGGACATCTCTTTTTCCTTTTCTGAGGGAGGTGTAGGCCCAACGTATCTTCTGAAAGGAAATTGATCTAAACACTGAGACCAAACTTCTTAAAGAAGAATGTCTGTTAAATTT